TTACTACAAACCTAGGAAATTAGGTACTTTATACAATTTTAAGACACATCAATGGTGCAATTTGGATTCAAAACTTTATAAAGGCCGTGCAAAAATGGTTCCATGACTTAAAACATTAAACAAAATTGGACAAGGAGACAAAATTAGAGTTGAGAGAACATTCCTCAACTTGACAGACTCACTTGATGTCTAAATCAAAAATATGAGTAAGAATGGATTTTATCTTGTATTTAAAATATGATAACATTTACATTACGCTTAAACCTACTGGAGGTAAGACAAAAGCTCATGAGAAAATTAGAAAGAAGGAAGGATTGTTCTCTTTCTCAAGATTAATTTAGAATCACTATTATTTATTTTCAAATAATAAAAAAAAGTCCCTTAAGTGGGGTCTTTAAATGAAAAACAATGTAGCTCCGTCTTAAAGTACACCATCTAATCAGTTCTTTCCTTCATTTTCTTCTAAACTTCATCCAATTAAAATTGGCAGAAGGTTAAAAACTCAACCCATTTTGCCATGTAAATTGCTTTAAAATTTTAAAAGCGACAGAGCTATCAATTATTCATAGAACTATAATTTAAAAAAATAAGATGAAAGGCACACAAAAAAGTGTAAAACATTTTTAAATTTGTATGGTGAAATATTGTAAGAATGGGCCTGNCTAATCAGTTCTTTCCTTCATTTCCTTCTAAACTTCATCCAATTAAAATTGGCAGAAGGTTAAAAACTCAACCCATTTTGCCATGTAAATTGCTTTAAAATTTTAAAAGCGACAGAGCTATCAATTATTCATAGAACTATAATTTAAAAAAATAAGATGAAAGGCACACAAAAAAGTGTAAAACATTTTTAAATTTGTATGGTGAAATATTGTAAGAATTGACATAGTTCTGAAATTATTTGAGGATTTTACAAAGATGAGGTGTTGTTTAGGAGTCAAATAGAACCTGCAGTTGAAACATTGCATTTCTTAATTTTTTTTTGAAGTTTCAAGTCCCCTTACAATACACCTTTATTACAGAATCTGCAAAATATTTTTTTAATTTTTGGACTTATAATGAATAACTTTGTAATCAAAGTATTGGGAGTAGACAATACCTTAAAAGAAGGTAATTTGTAAAAAGCTTTCTCTGACTGACTTCGGTGATAAAATATTGTAAGTAATGAAACACCGTAAAACCTTACATTTGGCTTTACACAACAGGATACAGACACTTTGTGCAGAAGGCACTATGTATGATCAAAATGATAAGTGTAAAGATTACCAAAAAGCAAAACCACACACGTATCTCTGTCTGCAAGGTTGCAAACTTCCTGTCTTAGTTTATATTTTCTTGGACAAACTAGTCAACTTAATATCTTGAAAACTTCCTTCAATTTTCTTCTCTGTTGGTAGAATATTTTGCATGAATTTCAAGCTAAAAAAGTGGCTTGATCCTCTTTAAAAAACTAAAATAGGAGCGGAAAGTATGAAAAATCACTATGGTGATATGTGGTTTTGTATTTTGGCTTTTGATATGATGTATTATACAAACTAAAAATCTGAGGAAATTTGAAAAATTGCTAATAAAATATTGTGCACGGTCGGTGGCTCTGAAATACAGTGAACAGGGAAGTAAACACCATCAAATATTGCAGTGATAATATGACTCAAGTATGCCATGGGCTTGAAGATGCTTCATCCTAGGATGTTTAGGATAACAATTGACAGAAAAATAGGAGAATACGTTCGAAAGAACACACCGAAAACAGTTACAAGAGGAGTCTTAGAAATTTGTGATATTAAAAAATATCCTTGACAAGCAAGGTAAATGCAATTGATTTTAAACATATAGTGAGATGCAATGTACAGTNAAAAAAAAAAAAAAAAAAAAAAAAAAAAAAAGAATTCAATGTCTACGAAACACATGAATTTTGATGACAGATTTCCTTATGTTTTGCTTACTTTTTACAGAGCCTTCGAGTGATCTAGGGAGCAAAAGATTCACAAAAGGACAGAAATTCCAGCACCACTATTTTTACTCAGCTGACTTGCTGCAGGCAAAAAATGTAAACATCAATCTGAGAGTTAAACCAAAAAAGATCAATGAATCATTTGAATAAGCAATAAAAAAAGAAGAAGAATCGATAAAATAAAAGCATCCAAATAACAATGTCAAGAGACATTTGGCGCAGAAGTGTCTTACTTTCATATGATAATTAAATTAAAACTTTACCTAGGATTTTAGATACTGATAGGTTTTCGATTAAACGCCTGAATAATTAGATTAACTTTTAGAATAATAGAATAATTTTTAGAAAAGAGTTATTTCTGAAATTTGAAACTTTTTTGGAAAAAATCTGTCCTAAACTTAANTCGTCGGCAATATTCATCATGGCGGACGCTTGCGCAGTTCCTCGCGTAATTCGAGGAGAGTTCAAGGTCAATTAAGGCGGGCGAGGAAAATATGAACTTAAACACGCCGATTGTTATATGGTTTAATCCTGTTCAGGTGTTATCTCGTCCCATCACACGTGTTTTGGCGGACTGGCGTCGGCCATGATGAGTATTGTCGCCAATGGAACGACTCCTCTAACAAAATGTTCACCTGTACCGTAGTATCGTTTTCGAAGCGGGAAGCTCAAAAAACCGCAAATATCTTACGCAGATTGTGAAGTTATGAGTGCATTTCAGACTTTGCCGATGCGCTCATCGTGATTTTTGAGGCATTATCTACAGGAGACAACTCTTAGTTTTGCTCTAGCAAAAGTTTGCAATAGGCCCATTGACATAGTTCTGAAATTATTTGAGGATTTTACAAAGATGGGGTGTTGTTTAGGAGTCAAATAGAACCTGCAGTTGAAACATTGCATTTCTTAATTTTTTTTTGAAGTTTCAAGTCCCCTTACAATACACCTTCATTATAGAATCTGCAAAATATTTTTTTAATTTTTGGACTTATAATGAATAACTTTGTACTCAAAGTATTGGGAGTAGACAATACCTTAAAAGAAGGTAATTTGTAAAAAGCTTTCTCTGACTGACTTTGGTGATAAAATATTGTAAGTAATGAAACTACGTAAAACCTTACATTTGGCTTTACACAACAGGATACAGAGACTTTGTGCAGAAGGCACTATGTATGAGCAAAATGATAAGTGTAAAGATTACCAAAAAGCAAAACCACATACGTATCTCTGTCTGCAAGGTTGCAAACTTCCTGTCTTAGTTTATATTTTCTTGGACAAACTACTCAACTTAATATCTTGAAAATTTCCTTCAACTCTCTTTTCTGTTGGTAGAATATTTTGCATGAAGTTAAAAAAGTGGCTTGGGCCTCTTTAAAAAACTAAAATCGGAGCGGAAATTATGAAAAATCGCTATGGTGATATGTGGTTTTGTATTCTGGCTTTTGATATGATGTATTATACAAACTAAAAATCTGAGGAAATTTGAAAAATTGCTAATAAAATATTGTGCACGATCGGTGGCTCTGAAATACAGTGAACAGGGAAGTAAACACCATCAAATATTGCAGTGATAATATGACTCAAGTATACCATGGGCTTGAAGATGCTTCATCCTAGGATGTTTAGGATAACAATTGACAGAAAAATAGGAGAATACCTTCGAAAGAACACACCAAAAACAGTTACAAGAGGAGTCTTAGAAATTTTTGATATTAAAAAATATCCTTGACAAGCAAGGTAAATGCAATTGATTTTAAACACATAGTGCATGTGTTTCAAGTGCATCAATGTACAGTTCGTACTAAAAAAAAAAAAAAAAAAAAAAAAAAAAAAAAAAAATTCAATGTCTACGAAACACATGAATTTTGATGACAGATGTTCCCCATGTTTTGCTTACTTTTTACAGAGCCTTCGAGTGTTCTAGGGAGCAATAGATTCACAAAAGGACAGAAATTCCAGCACCACTATTTTTACTCAGCTAACTTGCTGCAGGCAAAAAATTTAAACATCAATCTGAGAGTTAAACCAAAAAAGATCAATAAATCATTTGAAGGAGCAATAAAAAAAGAAGAAGAATTGATAAAATAAAAGCATCCGAAGAACTATGTCAAGAGACATTTGGCGCAGAAGTGTCTTACTTTCATATGATAATTAAATTAAAACTTTACCTAGGATTTCAGATACTGATAGGTTTTCGGTTAAACGCCTGAATAATTAGAATAACTTTTAGAATAATAGAATAATTTTTAGAAAAGAGTTATTTCTGAAATTTGAAACTTTTTTGGAAAAAATCTGTCCTAAACTTAAATTTTCACAAACACTAGGTATGGAACATGTTCATAAAAAGGCCCTGATGAACAATGTAGGGTCATCAATTGCATTTACAATGAAATTTTACCTTCTTTTTAGGAAAAACGACTTTCTTGCTAAATGCTCTGAACTATAGATCTTCCATTTATCACAACTTGTTGATGTGACAGAGAATTTTTTTTTTTCTTTCTCCTCTAACATCCCACTTTCTTTCTTTAAACACTCAGATTTGCATACTAGAGGAGTTACACTGGTATGTAGCACTATGTTTAAACTACTGTCTTATTTCAGCATACATGACATAAAAACAATGAACACGAAAATTACAAAAATATATTTCTAGTCGGCAGTTAGAATTAACTAATCCTCATTATCATTTTGAAGTAGTATTAGATACTAAGCTCTTCTATACTTGACCGTATTAGATCGCCTGTGGAATATTTTAACTTCTAAGGCATTGTAAGAGATGAAAATTAGAACATGTGCATTGAATATACCTTCACATTCAAAATCTGCAGAGCAGAAATCTTAAAAAGTGTACAAATAGATGCCGCCCCTATTCCTCCATCTACTATCACGTGGAACAGCTCAATCTACAGTAAATTTGATATAAATGGACAAAAAAAATAAATAGATAAATCTTTGACTTCCTTGAGGTAATTCAAAAGCTCACTCATTTGTCCTGCTTCGAGAGAGGTAGGGGAAATTTTTCACTTCTGAATCAAACTTCGAAGCAAAATAAATTTAAAAAAGAAAAAGAAATCTTCTCATTTAATATAATTACTGCAAAATTATCAACTCAAAGAAACAACTGTTCCTTAAGCGCAACATTTGACTATTGAAGTAACTGAGAGGAACTTGAATAGACTTTTATAAAAAATTATTCTTAACTTTGCAATTTGATTTACTGCTGTTACAGAAATAAAATTGACATAACTCTGTTTCAGAGGTCAAGTAAAGAAAATAAAGAGTCGAACAGATGTGTCTTGCTCCTATTTTAATCACATTTCACCATGAGGAGGGTAGGAACTCAAATATTATCTACAGGGGCAATGAAAAGGCAAAACACCTAACTTGTATTAATCCTCTTGAAGAAGCAGGAGAAGGAACAAAAAATTCTCTGAGCAAAAGAATTCTTAAAAATTTAGAATCAGCATTGAAGGGTCCCAATTTAATACTATGTATGCAGTATTTTTATAATTGCACTTTGAGATTTTTCACTCAGAAAAACTTACAAGGCAACAAAAAGTCCCATCCTGAGACAAAAATTATCATTAAATTTATTGATAGCTTCTCAAGCACAGATAGACCCCTGAAAAATTCTTAAGAGAGGGGAATCAAAAGGCTAAAAAAGAGAGTCTGTTCCAAACAACAGACAGTTTAACCAAAGATTTCAGAGCCTCGAAAAACTGTTGATTATCCAATTGGTTCAACTTTGAACTTCAAAAACAGCACCAAGAATTGCCGATAAAAGACGACAAATTTCCAAAAGCTGCTTTTTCTAAAACCTCGTAGGTGAATGAGACAGAAAATTACGAGCGAAAAATGCAGTAAATGAACAGGAAATTTTACACCAGATTAGTTGCACATTACTTATTTGATTTTTACCCGTAAAATCTGATTAGAATAGAACAACTCCACCTTCAAGTTGAGATCGTGGATTTCATTGAGTTAAAGGGGCTCACAAGCACAAACTTGGAATAATGAGAAGAATGAAGGTCAGGCTGATTTTAAAGTCAGCTACATAAAAGTTACCCTGCATTGAGAGGGTATTTGCGGTGACTTTTAAAATCTTATGTTCCTTACTGAGAAGGAAATTTAAGAATAAATGGAAAAAAAAAAGAAAAAAATCCTAAAATAATAGATGAATTAAAATGTGAGCCCTGAAGAGTTTGAAAATCATCTAAAAATAATCGGCTCTGTGGCAAAGTCCTTGCCTGTCAAAAACTCATTTTCCAATTTTTTTCCGTTTGGAAAAAAATAAAAATTAAAAATCACAAAATTAAAGGCACAATATGTGCTACCGACTTACATATTATGCCTAAGTATTACGCAAAGTTCAAATCAATTCATCAATTGATGGGGCTTTGCGTAGAATTATTTTTGATATTTTCGTTATTGAACACTAAAGAATCTTGATTGATTGGCACAGCATTGCGTACTAAATGCTCAACACTAGAACTAACTTGACTTGACATACTATTGGACCTGAGAACTTGCCTACGTAGACTGCTCCTTAAAATATTTGCTACATCTGATGCAGTCATAGTTCCACCTCCTCCTTGTGCGCTCGCGTCAGGAGGAAGGTGAGGCCTTCTGATTACTTCGTTAACTTCGCTTTCTCGTCGCGGGATTGTTATCTGAGTGCGGTTTGAATTACCGTTTCCTTGCGACTGATTAATCTCCACCAGAACAGCTGCGTAATTGGGAGGTGGAGGTCCTCGAGGGCTTGCAGGAGGATTGGCCACATCATAAGTGTCCCTCGTCTGAGTGGGAGTTCCAAGTGCAGAACGTATGTTTCTGATACCTCGAACACTCCGTCGCAGACTTTGCCGCAACAGCTTTGCAATTCTGAAATTGAAAACAGATTTTCAAGGAATTTTCCATATCAAATAAAACAAGTTTTGACCTGACAAAATCCGGCACTGTTTTTGAATCGCGCCTGACAGCCTTCATGTCAGAATGGCCATACACTATATGTGAACATCAATAGCTCTTTCAAATACTTTACATCTTGCCAACCTTAATCAGCCTCCATTAACATTTTTTATATCCTCCACTGAGATCTAATGAGAGGGTTTGTTTGCGCTCTGTAATCTGAGGTGGAAATACAATAGGGTCATTTGATGTTTTTTCACTTACCTCATTTTGGGCAATTTTGTTGTTTAAAGAATATTGAAGTATTTTAAAACGACCTTTTCGCCGAGGATTATCCTCACTTTTTAAACCATTAAATATGATTGACATTCGATCATTTTGGAAAAAAAATTTACCGAAAAAACAGAAAAATTTACTCTCTTGATTAAAATGTATGAATCTTCAAATACTGCTACCTCCCCTTGATTAAATGGATTGTCCTGTCATATAGATGCATAAATCCTTAAGACGACCCAACATCACAAAGTCTGAGGAGGATATCAATAAACAATCATTGCTCCTACGAAATGTCAAGTTACCTAAATTGGTCAGCTGTCTTGGAATTGCCGAATAGGAAAAAAACAATTGAACATAAGGAGTGCTGATTGAACATTTCAGTCCCGTAATGATTGTGAAATATGTAGCTGTAAAGGTTAAGCCCAATCAAGCTAAGTACAAATGATTGTAGGAGGGAAAGGAATCTGTAGATTAATACCTTGCTCCGGTGGCTGTTGAGTAAGAGGGGGGTGGAGTGTACTTCGGAGGCGGATCTTCCACGGGTATTCCACCACCATGTCCACCACTGTTTTCTGAATTCGCTTGGGCTGCCATATCATGAATATTGTGCTGCAGATCAATTCTCGGTCGGTAGAGAAGTTGTATCCGCTGAAAACATAACTTTTAATAGAATTTACTAGGTACCATCCGAGACACAAAATTGCCTTGGAAAAAGTGTTATGATCTATTTTGCAAAGGAATTCTAGATAGAACTGAAAAAAAGTTTACAACATTGCAAACCGAGAAACATAGTCCAGGAGTTTGAACGTCAATATTTACATTTAATGAGGTTAGGGAGCGATATAAGTATTTCTAGGACACTAAGTCAAAGATCAGTGTCAGTTTCCTTGATTTAATGTCAGAAATATACAATATGTCTTTCAAATTTGATGTTATACTACTCAATATTTATGCAGCTATATACAGTGGTTCAGTTTTTCTTGTAAATTCTAAGTTAATAGAGAATATCTCTTCGCACAAACACCATCTGAATTAAGGCGCAATATAGTAGTGATTTTTGCCCCTAAATCAAGAAGATCACTTAGATATTTTGATTTTAATAAGCACTTACTTCAAATATATCAGGGGGACCAGTGGTCAAATAGCGAATAGTTTGAATAACTCCTGCTATCGGTACTAGGACAAGCGGAGCTAGCTGAATGAAGCAACCCGCTTGGCGGCCCCACACTGGCCAATAATCATAACCGGGGATTTGCCAGTTGTATAAAACCTTGTATCCTCCATTCTTGATTATGGTTGTGGATAACAGCTGCAAAAAAGAGATAAGATTATTCCTCATTATTTTTAGGCTTAGCAATTTCAAGGGGATTACAGCTATTTTGATGTCCGAATGGTTAAATGGATTTAAATACATGGTCGCTTGATTTTTCTATCGCAAACTTTGAACTTGGGTTTTTACGCTTTTTTTTTAAAAAAAAAAAAAAAAAAAAAACGAACAAACATCTTAAAATAAACGTCATCAAGAGCATTTGAATATCAGCTATCAATAATTTAATTTATTTCAGAGAGAATTACCATTAAAGCAACGGGCAAAATAACATTCCAAATAAAGGATAGCATTGGGGCAACCCATGATTGAAGGAGCTGAGATGTATGCGAAAACAGAGTTGCCACTACTGTTTCTCCACTGTACGGTCTCCCTCGAACCATGAACACAGCTCCGATTTCCAGTAAATAAAGCAACACAAGCCACCAACTGGAGCCAATACAGTAGTCAATGTAATAAATTACAAAGATTCCAAGCTGGAACATAAATAATTAGGAAATTATTAAAAAAAACTGACTTTGAAAAGATAAAATTTGATAAAAATACAATAAAATGAATAAAAAACTCAAGAGGGAAGTTTTTAGTAAATTGACTTGATTGTTTTCTATAACCATAACAAATATCAATGCTTGAAAAACAATCAAAGAAACAAATTTTCAGACTTTTGATAAAGTAGAGAAACAAAATTGAGAATTTGTTGTTTACTATGAAGCTGAGTGTTTACCCACTCTAGTGCAATAAGATTTCTAATGAAGATTACTCCTTTTCTGAGGAAAACATTGGTAAAACCCTTGTTGTACCGGGTACCTTTGTTGTAAAAATATTGAGATATTTTTTTCTCCAAACTAGAGAAAATATATTAAGTTTAGATGTTTGGTAAACTATTAAATTTGTGCTCCCAGTGTAGCAGATCGCATTTTAAAATTTGTGCTGTTGCTTTACATTTTTACGAGATGTTTTTACATTGGTGAGGAGCAATCAGGCAAAACCTGAAAACTTAAAAACTGTTGTTTTCTCTTCACCTAATTTGATGTGATAGAAAGTTTACAAACCAAGATAATCAGTTTCTAGTTTCACCATCAAGAAGTTAATTTCAGTGAAAAATATTTACAATTGAAAGAAATGACAGCATTCCTATTTTCATCGATAATTGACAACTAAAGCTATGAAGTAAGCGAAGCTACACTGTGAAGAGACAAGCTAATTTCAGAAGAGGCTGTCAAAAGTCCTCGAGCTGCTCTTTTTACTGTGACTGCTGTCTAGATAGTGCCTTTCAAAAACATGCAGAAAAGATTGCAGGGAAAATGAAAGAGTGACTCTTAAGATAATCGTCTCATTTATTTGTGATACGATTATTAACCTAGAAACATAAAAACCTGCTCATGTCACAATAAACTTAGTCTGAGTACCTCACATTGGATTCTTTACGTTTTTTTAATAAACTACATAGTTTGCAAAATATGATGCCCACTAACAAAGGAAATAGAGAGAGGACAAATGCACAACTTGAAAAGGGAGGGTAATGGTGAGATACAACTTACCTCTGATGTCATTGGTAATCCGATTATAAATGCGAAAAGGCAGGTGAAAAACGTTATAGTTGTTGCCCATGGTTTTAGAGATTTCACATCAACAGCTATTATGCCACTCACTACACAGTGCCAAATTGCCAGCTAAAAACAGATCAATTTTAAAATTAGTACAACATAAGATTTTGGAGTAAGAAAAAAACAAAAACTGAAAAGCTCTTCAGTGAATGAATCATGTTCAATTATCAGATGCTTTCAATGTAACCCCTTTAAACCTGGAATTTGAGTTACAAAATACACCTCCAGCACTAAGATGACAAACTAAAGTATGTACAGGGTGTTTCAGACCACCCGTACCAGGCCTTTTTCTCGGTTGGTTCAGGTCGTACGAAGTCGGAGACCGCGGGGTTGAATAGGGAATTGACCCCAAGGAATCCGAATTTCGTGGTCCCGAAACCCCCCCCCACCCCCCTTGGGGGGTAAAGGGGGGGTCACGATGCTAAAAGTCACGGTTCCCGACCGAATTGCGGATTAATCGCATCAGAATTGGAAAGCACGGAAAATTTCACGTGAAATTGACCCCTAAAAATCCAAAATTGGACCATCCAAGGCCCAAAAATGACCCCCTAAAGAGGGGGCCAGTACCCCCCTCCATAATTTCTCTTTGGTCTCAAAATTGACGTAAATTCTCCAGAAAAAGACGGTTTCCCAGGTTATCGACCTCGAGAAATCCAAATTTCATGGTCCCGAAGCTCCTCTAGCGCTACTTGGGGGGTAAACGGGGGGGGGGGGGCCCAATTTTAAAAATCGGGGCTCCTTTCCGAATCGCAAATTGATTGCATCCAAATTGAGGAGCAGAACACATTTACATCTTAAGTGACTCCTGAGAGTTCTAATAGACCCCCTGTACGGTAGAAAGCAACCCCCTGAGGAGGGGGGCCTCGCCCCCGCCAAAAATTTCTCAGGATTCCTCTTTGGTCGCAAAATTGACGTAGATTCTCCAGAAAAAGACGGTTTCCCATGTAATCGACCCCGAGGAGCTCAGGGAACATGAAATTTAGAGTCCTCGGGGTCGATTACATGGGAAACCATCTTTTTCTGGAGAATCTACGTCAATTTTGCGACCAAAGAGGAATCCTGAGAAATTTTTGGCGGGGGCGAGGCCCCCCTCCTCAGGGGGTTGCTTTCTACCGTACAGGGGGTCTATTAGAACTCTCAGGAGTCACTTAAGATGTAAATGTGTTCTGCTCCTTAATTTGGATGCAATCAATTTGCGATTCGGAAAGGAGCCCCGATTTTTAAAATTGGGCCCCCCCCCCGTTTACCCCCCAAGTAGCGCTAGAGGAGCTTCGGGACCATGAAATTTGGATTTCTCGAGGTCGATAACCTGGGAAACCGTCTTTTTCTGGAGAATTTACGTCAATTTTGAGACCAAAGAGAAATTATGGAGGGGGGTACTGGCCCCCTCTTTAGGGGGTCATTTTTGGGCCTTGGATGGTCCAATTTTGGATTTTTAGGGGTCAATTTCACGTGAAATTTTCCGTGCTTTCCAATTCTGATGCGATTAATCCGCAATTCGGTCGGGAACCGTGACTTTTAGCATCGTGACCCCCCCTTTACCCCCCAAGGGGAGGTGGGGGGGGTTTCGGGACCACGAAATTCGGATTCCTTGGGGTCAATTCCCTATTCAACCCTGCGGTCTCCGACTTCGTGCGACCTAAACCACCCGAGAAAAAGGCCTGGTACGGGTGGTCTGAAACACCCTGTATATAGAGAAACATGATTGGATACTTTTTCTCTGTGATCGTAGACCAACTTTATCAAGGAGCACCAAACTTTTGAAAACTCATTCTCACAATGGGTAAGTCGCACTAGTCGCAGAATCATCTTTTGACATTTGTCGTCCTTCAGCATATGAACTAGCAAAAATTAAAAGATCTGTTCAAATTCCAAACTTACACGTCCGATGTTAGCACAATTATAGCTTGTCAAGAGACGGCTTTTGAAATCATCCACCATGGTTTCATTCGTGTTTTACGTCTGGCAACTAAAGCAGATGAGAGTCTCATTGACTAATGAAACCAAGGTGGAAGAAACCATAGCTTGCACTACTGCAAAGGATGATGGCTTGCAGCATATTTTTGGACTTAAAAGCGTGGCATTTGAACAGTTTTTGTTATTTTTTCCTAACTAATAAGCTTAAGCCACCAGAGCACGATTCTGTGACTAGCCCAACTGACTTATTGTTTTCCACTGTAGACTGAAGTATTAATGCTTGGATTTTAAACTTCAAATTTCAAAAGGTTCAAATTTAGAGCCTGCAGTCACATCTCGCAGTTATTCAGGTAAATTTTGGCGTAGGTTCAAAATAACTAAGATATAAGTGATAAATTTAATGTTCATTTTGCACGGAGATTTTCAGTCATAATAATGGGAAAAAAAATTGCACTCCGATTTGGTAGATGGTCTATTGATTATGAAAGATAAAACATTTAATGATTTAAAAATTAAAAATACCTGCTGAGCGATGCCAAATAATGTCAGCACGAAATAAAACAGGACGGACCAAAATGGAGAGACTTTATCGGCTCCGAGAAGAGCAAAGGTCGCAGGAACTAGTTCAGTGGCAAATCGAAGTGCCTGGTAACCACTTTCATGCCTAGGATTTATGCTCGGATTTATTACTCTCTCACCGAGAAACAGGCCATTATGGGGCATTCGATGTGGGCCAACGGCATAGTGTGATGGAGGTTGTGGAGAATTCCGTCTGTGAAGAAATCTGTAGGTGGACATTTTTTCTGGAAAATAAAGAGAACTCCAGTCAAAGACCGATAGATACATACATAGGTAGATAGACAGACACATGCATTGCTTTACTTAAACTCTTCAGGGTATTATAAAGGACGTTGTTACTAAAGTCACAATGCATTTCTTAATGGCCTATAATTTCAAGAATTATAGGCTTTGAAGCATATTAATTGATACTTTTTTCCCCATAGAAATTTCTCATATATTGCACAAATATTGCAGGCTTTAAAATTATTTAATTATTCTGGGCTCGAATTTTGTTGGCAGGTTTTCGGTTGACTACAAGTTAAGGCAAGAACGTTAACTTAGTTATTTGATCGCTGATTGATGATTAGCGCCATTAGGGAACTAAGTAATGGCTGGAGCCTGCTGTAAAAAGCTTAACTTGTGTACAGCTTGAGTTTAAAATATAATTAATAATAAATAGCAGCCTGCTGTAAAAAGCTTAACTTGTGTACAGCTTGAGTTTAAAATATAATATATAATCAGCCTGACTTAAAATTGGATTAAAAGGTTGGGTTCAACTTGCGGTCATCCATAGCCAACAAAATTCCAGTCTGAGTACACATCAAATTTTATCACATATCCCCAAAACAAAAGCTCAAGAAGTCTCCATTCAATTATCATTGAACCTGCATTGGATTTTCTTTCCTTCTTTTTTTTTAATACTATACTTGAAGCTTCAGAAATAACTAAAAGGTCACAATGCTGTTGCTATTCGTTAAGAGGAATGGAACATAAAGAGATTCGGTGAACTTACCAAAGGAACTTGGGCTGTAAAGAAAGCCATGAGCTAAAATAAGTTGATAACAAGTATGAGCAAGGAAAGAGGAGAGAATGAGAACTGCTAGAGTAATAATAATGACTAGTCCAGTATCACGGGGTAGCAAATTCTTCTGCTTATTGTGTGATGCTATCTGCATGGCAGATGCACCTAACATGCCCCACGTAGCAAATGATTCCACAAAAGCTGCAGTCCAGCTCTGAAAAGGAAAGAATGATCAGGTCAGATCAGAATATGCACTTGAAAATAAGACAACGATTTTGTTCAAATATTTGAAGGACAAAGTGGGCTCAGCATAGGAGCTCTTTCACAAAATATGTGCATAACGCTGTTGGGGGGAAGAGGGGGATTGAGGTTTGAGGAGAGCTTTATGGCATTTTGTTTTTTCAATTTGAATTTTCTAGCACAGTTTTCTCATTTTGCTTTTCTCTTAAAAACTTTAAATCTTTTTTTGAGTTGCACTGCAGTTGATTAACCACTACAAGAGGGCCTGCTGTTTCTGTGAATATTTTTCCTTTCTTAGACTTAAATTGAATCTTTCCTCAATTTGTGATGAAGTATGTATTTTGAAGAGCATTTTTCTGTGGTTAGTTAATAGGAATAAAAATTGTACTTATTTCAGAGTAATTCGAAAGGGAAAAACAAACCAATCCAGAGGAGAAATAGTTACCTTTGTATTTAAAAAAAATTCATTCCAATCAGTCTCAAGAAAAAATTCCTGATTTTGAGACATTCCAGGAGCAGCACCGAGCATTTTTGCACAGAGAACGAACAAACCCATCACAGGAACTGCAGAAAATACATAGATGACTTTGCCATAGGATTTTAAACCTGAAATGCGAAAAAGTGCCGGTAAAATTGAATGAAGAAACCAAATTCCATATTGAATACATACTTAAAACCTTACTATAAAACTGACAAATGTTTAGCTTTAGAGTTGTGATATGATTGTGCTAAAGCTTTCAAATACTCCGCATTTTGCAGGTGTCATAACTAAGCAGATTGCTCAATGGAAAATCGCATAAAAGAATATTTTCCCTAAAGAAAATCCCTACAAATTTTACTCATGTACAATAGAGATTTAAATAAAGGTCACAAAATTTCTTTCACATCAAACTTTTCTGCAAGACTGAAACAAAGCACAAGATGTTGTGCTGGAGATTCAACAGCCGAAATTAACAAAAACATTACTCGTGATGAGTTTTAAAAGATTGAGGGAAAACAAAAAATGTTGATACTTCATGAAGTATTCGGAACCAAAAGACAAGATGTGAAGAGAGTTAAGGTGTCTCTCAATGTTTTTATCCTGAATTCATGTTAATGACATTGTTCTGTTGTCTCATTCAATACCATCAGTACAAAAGAATCTGTGCTACATTGATGCAGCACCTCACATAGAAACAAAGCTTCATGCAAGACCAACAGTTGATATTAATGAATGAAAGAACCAGTTTATTCTCACTTCCATACACTTTATTTCTTGGAATCCTGTTCCAGCTTTTCTCATTCTGAATCATAGAGCACAATACTCGAAGTTAGATTTAAAAAATCTCAGGACAAATGGACTGTAAGATTATTTTCAGAATCAGACTCTACTTATTTTTTAAAAATATACATATATAAATGTGACATACACACTCCTCGACCATAGAGTGTCATGCAGGGAGTTTATACACAAAGTGAGCCCGGATGGGGTGAAGGGGGCAGGTCCTGGATAATGGAATTAAGATGAACTCAACCTACCTTTACTTAGAGAAATGAAAACAATAAGCCAAGCTACTGCTAGGTTGAAAGCTACAGAAAATTTAATACTGCCACTTTCAGATGGAGGAGACAGTAAATATTGCCTCTGTAAGACAACACCATTGAAATAGTCCGGTACAGTCTCCTCTAATTTATATGTGGCATTAGACCTTCTGAAGTCTGGTAGACCATCTGTGAAAATAGAAAAAACAAATAAATTAGATTCATTTTAAGTTGGATATTGAGTTAATTGTAAATTTCGATACTGGTTTAAGATAAGAAAAAAGATAAATCCAAAAACCGAGTAGATTTTTCTGATCAAGCTTACAGCTCATTGAACTTGAAAATTGTTTTTTCTCTTAGCTTTCTTCGAATTTTTTTTTGAAACCTCATACTTCTGTTTGCAACGATAAAACAGTCCAGTTTTGCAGAATAGCTGGTTGTCCTGGTTGCATAAAATTTTGTGATTTTGACCTTTAAAGAATATTCTCTGAAAATGCAGTAGTCTCTGAATCTCTGAATACTCTAAGAGCTCTGGTTGAGATGAATATGTTCTTCCTCACTCATAGGTCTCATAAAGCAATAATTATTCAAGATATGCTTTTACCTTCCCGACTGAGATCTAGCGGCTCGGCCCATCTGTAGACATCCTGCTTTGTGATGAAGGAGTCGCGAAAATAGACGAACATCCATGATACTCCGATTATGCTGTAGATACCTAGCATAGCTTGTGAAAGCAATAGAGCTATGCCAATCCCCTGAAACAGGATGAAATTCAATCAAACCTTTTGATCGTAAGAATCAACATTCAAAAATTGTCGTCCGGAAAGAAGTTCAGATTGTGAGCTAATGAGCAATAACATTCAGAAAACTCAAATGATTTTTTGAACAGTAATACATAGAAAAGAAAATGAAAAAAGTAGTTTTCTGGTGACAAGGAATTCCTTCAGGTTGAAATTTTAATGCGAAAGAGAATGAGGCGAGAAAACAGCAACAGGAGAGGAAACCATGCGTTAAGAAGACTCAGTTGAAATTCTGTAGAAAGAAAAATAGTAATCTGATGTAAATTGTTCTTTACTTCTGTGTATAAAAAATTCAAGAGAAGATGGTGGAACACTGCAATGAAATATGCTGGATGCTCTCTGACATATTTTCGAAAATATTAGGTACGGTTAATATTAGGTAGGAGATGTAACGTTGATAGAAAATAAAAATCTCGAGCGAAAATTGAACAGTAATTTTGATTTTTTTTTTTTTTTTTTTTGCTGCATACTTGGTGGTAGATTTTCGACTAAAATATACGAAAAATTCTAGAAAAATTCGGAGAAGATTCCGGATCCTTTACAAAGTTGTACGAAACCGTCTATCATACTTAAACTTTAATCGTGCCTACATATGAGAAATAAGCACTTTTCTCGGATATTTCAGTCAGTAGACATGATCATGAAAATTTTATCTAAAAGACTCTAATTTTTAGTAAAAAATGGAGAATGAACCTGTCACTATTCCTAATAGTAATAGGATTAGACTCGACATCCATTCAAGTATGTTGTGATGGCACTGCTGATTTTTGATAAGAGATACAATTACAAATGGCTATGACAAAAAGTAATTTTTGAGACTGATTTGCTGACCTTGAAGATCGGGGATATGCTCCACATATCGATGACGCCACTTGCCAGAAGTTGCCCGAGGGAAACATGAAACGTGAATAGAGGTACGCCGACAATGAGTGACAAAATCACGAACTGCATGATAAAATTCGCTGCAACAAAAAAATAAAGCCATCGTTTTAGGGGATGAAAAGTTTTAAAAAAAATCAGTAGCATTTCAATTGAATTTTGGGGAGTCAAAAGTTGTTGAGGAGAACTCCAAGAGATCTTAAAAATTGCTCAAATTATTGCTCAATTAAAGCATAATTTATTTTAAGCACAAGGACCATCGGTGAGCATCCCCTGGCGCTAAGTCGAAAATAGAACGGAAAAATCAATGAAAAAAGAGATTTTCATGTTGCCCGGCAATCCAATTGCTTAAAGTGAGGTATTCTCACTAAAGGCATTATTGGTTCGATGATTTGACTGAGAAAATCCTTGTTTCCTTCCACTCTACGACCACTTAAATAAAGCAGGTTCGATGGAAAATAATTAAAACAACACCGACAACCGACAGGGATTTGTAGAAATCCTTGGCTTAACGGGTCTTAATTGTTTTCTTGTTTTTTTTTAAAGTTTATTTTCAGGCGTGGCATTTGAACGTTTTCATACACTATTCTCCCCTAAATACACTGCAATTCTACCGTTTGGTCGAGGGGGGAGTAGGACTCATAGAACTGAATATTTGATTAAATTAATAATGTAACTTGAACTAAAAATGAAAAGAATATGAGGGGAAAAAACAGATAAAAAAGCACCTGCAAAAAATACATACCAACGATAAATAGAATATAAAAAAAAATACGAAAATACATTAAATCCAAAGGAAAAGAGAGTAATAAAACTGAGAAAAAACAAGGGGGAAAAAAACTTCTGTTTTTTACTTCGAAGTTATGCAAGAAGGTGGCTGCTTTAATCGCGCGAGATTCCAGAGAGGTTTTCATGAGAACAGTGGGCTTTTCAGCAGTATCTATCCATACTTTGCTACACAATACCAGCTTCAGAAAATGAAAAATCAAGAGGCTGAAGACCCTTATAAGAACCAAAAGACCTCTCCATTTTAAGATTCGTGAATTTTTCTTTCCAGTAACCTTGAACTACACATATAGCCTCAATTTTCTTACATAAGATAATCGCAACAGTGATCGATTAATATTTGATGGAATCATTTAGTTTCTCCGATTCGCATTGACACTCAATCCAGGGTGTCTATTAGTTATGAAAAACCAAAATTGGGGACTTTCGGGGACTACTAGGGGAGTTTTTTCAAGAAAATCGGGGACTTTTTTTTCCCGAAATAGTAAGAGAAAGGGAGCTGGTCAGAACATTAAAAGACGTATTTTAGGCGACTAATTTTACAAATCATGCTGAACCGATGAAAACATACGAAAAACCAAGCAACACTTCAGTTTCTTTTTCATATTCTTTGTTATACCGTGTCACCGCGGCTGGCGGGAAAATTAGAAAATGCCGGTGTTTAGGATCATTTTTGTCACTTTTTGGGGACCTGAACAAGAAAATTGGGGACTTTCGGAGATATCGGGGACACCCTTCCAAAATCGGAGATAATCGGGGACAGTGGTGACTTTTGGGGATCGGTAGACGTGCGCGAAAATCAAACTGATACTTAATTTTCTTTATACGCGTCAAATTAACTTCTTCGTCTTTCCTTAACGCTATTCAAACGCCTAAATTAAGAATTTACTGAGAGGTCACTGATGACTCGGTAAGCGATCGATGGCCCCGCGCCCTTCGGCTGGCCCGGTTGAGTCATGGTCATACCACGACTGAGGTCATGGTGTCAGTTCGCTTGGGGCGATTTCATTGTAACTTACAAACCGGAGTTTTAGACTTAGACGTTAGAAATAATGAATAATTTTTATTTGAAGTCCCACCTCCCACATGCAATTAGAAAATTAGCGAGGAAATCGGTTTAGTTGATCGGTGTTGGAGAGCGAGGCTATTGTGCGCAAAAATTATGAAAATGCGTGATGAATATTGGACGTTTTTCCACGAGTCGATTCATTTGGGGGGCCTGCACTTTATATTTTACTGTTGAGGAACGATTTTGGTCAATTTACTGAATTTTTTGTGATTTTTCTCAATCTACACCCTGAGATGAAAAATGAAATTTCACGGGAACTTTCAAAGGGCTTAAAAGTTAAATTTCATTTTTTATGGGAGGAGGGGTATGGATAAGGGCCGTTTTGGGCCCACTCAATTTGAATTCCTTCAATCCTACGATGTTTTGCTCGTTGAAGGTCCATATTCGACGGAATCCTTCGTGCTTTGGTCATGAATCTCCTTCGGGGTCTAATACTGGCTTAAACAAGGGTCTAAAGGCCGATTTTGGCGGGAAATGCGGGTTTTCCGCGTTTGCGGTCGAATGCTGAAAATCCGCACTTGGACCCATGCATAGGTTAGTATTAGACCCGATAAAAAACCAGAAACGACCAGATCATGATGCATTTTGAAAAATATAGACCTCCAATTAGCAAACAATCGTAGAGTTGAGGGCATTCAGTTAAGGTGGACCCAAAACAGGGTGTCTAGTTTTTTTTTTTTCGTTTCTGGAAATCCTGATATTTCCAGATTTTTGACTGCTAAATCCTGATTTCAAAATTTTTCCAAATCCTGATTTTTTTGCGGAGGCGAATGTAACTTCACAAAAATAGCTCGATAAAAAAATCCGATCGGACGGCCAACTTTTCTCAAATCCTGATTTTTCCTCAAAGCCTGATGTAATTGATATTCAATCCTGATAGACCTCAAATTCTGATAGAATCTGGAAAATTGGGAAAATCCTGATGCTAGGCACCCTGCAAAAACAGCCCTAATCGATACCCTCCTTTCAACGATTTTTCAGGGACTGATGATGTGTGATCCGCAAAATTTATCCGAGGAATCTATAAACGACTTCGAAAATTGACTCGTGATTTTTTAACACCCTTCAAATTGAGATTTTCTGTTCCCATGCATTGCACAGTATACTGAGCCAATAATTGAAAAACAAAATGAATACAATTTCATAATATAAAGTATGTATAATGAAATTTTGCATCTCTGTCCTCGCCCCTCGACAATGTAGCTGAAATAAAGTCCTTGTTCCTCGCGAGATTTCGCCTCGAAAAAATCGGTTGAATCGCGAAACCCCCTCACTGTCAGAGAGGCACTATTTACAGAGATCTCAAATTTTGGAGGTGATGCAAATCAGTTTTCGGATGAGACCCTCTTGGCGAGAAACGCGTGTGAACGAGCACAAATTCACTAGATTTTCGATGGGCGTAACAACCGAAGCCTCGTGAGCCGTGGATCGCGGGTTTAAAGGGAATTTCAAGGCTCATGAGACTTGGTTCCTTCCGCGGACTCGGAAACCGAACGGTCCCATTCGGTGCCAGCTGCGTAAACTCGGCGGTCACTGAGCAAACACGGTTGTTCTCTCGAAAAACGTCACGAGAACGTTCGAATGTGGCCGAATTGGACTGCATTTTGCAATTTGGAACTATAAATTCTGAGTCATCTGAAAAAACACTTATATGCATTGGGAAACTAATGGCACATACGTTGTTTTTAAACCGGGCCAGAATTTATAGTTCCAAATTGCAAAATGCAGTCCAATTTATCCTTATAAAATACTCGTTTAGGAGGAACATTATCGATGCTTCCCGCCAAAACTTGGAAATGCCCGAGGTTAGATTGCAAATAAAATTCTCGAAAAAATTCAAAGGGTAAAATTTACAAGTTCCCTGAGGATATGGTATTTTCTCGGATGAAATTGGCAACATCCGGGTGTTGATTCGACGTTTTTCCTTAGGACGGCAGAACGTGACATAGGTTTTTAGGGCTCGGAGCCGGTGGCTAAAAGTCACATTTTGTTGTGTTGGGTGGGTCCAGAGACGGATTCAGCGAATTGGCAACATTGGGTTCCCTCAATATAAATTTAATTAAATATATGTGTTCTTGGAAGGGCCAGAAGTGCTCCAAATAATATCGATTATTTCACTTTTTATTAACTTTTCAAATAATCGGAACTTTGTCCGGAATTTTCCGGAATTTTCACAGAATTTCGGGGGTTTTTGTCAGTTTGACCGACTTTTTTTTTATAAAATTCGACGATCTTTTGAATTAAATCCGGGCGTGTTTCGGAATTTTTTCCCTGGAAATTTTGAAAAAATCGGAATTTTTCTCGGAACTTGAAGAAATTGGAAGTAATTCCGGGAGCCCCGGAGCTGCGTAATCGGATACCTCCTCGATGCTAAAGAGCTAGTCAGAGTGTCTAGTTTGTTATCATTTGGGGAAATCCTGATTTTTCCTTATATTTGATTGCCAAATCCTGATTTCATAATTTTTCCAAATCCTGATCAAATCCCGATTCTTTGCGGAGAAAAAGAGGAGAATGTAATTTCATAAAAATACCTCGATAAAAAATCCCATCGGACTGCACTGGAAAAAAAAGTCTCTTGGATCTAGAGTCCGGACTCTTGAAAACAATGACAAGAAAAAATACTCTTGATTTAATCGGATTTTTGCTTGAATCAAAAAGAAATCCGCTTAAATAAAGAGGCCTGGTCCTCGATTTAAGCAAAAATCCTATTGAATCAAGAGTTCTTTCTTGTCAATGTTTCTAAGAGTCTGGACTGTAGATCCAAGCGACTTTTTTTTTTCGGTGTGCCGCTTTTTCTCAAATCCTGATTTTACGACCGATTTTTCCTCAAATCCTGCAATGAAATCGGAATCAATTCTTGATTGACCTCAAATCCTGATTGAGTCGGAAAAATCGGGAAAATCCTGATGGTAGCCACCCTGCTAATGTTAAGGAATCTGACCAAAGCCTCGGTGATCAACGGACAAAACGGACAAATCTGTTTTTTGCCATGAATCACCCCGTATACGAGCGGGGGAGGGTGAATTGAATGGAGGCGGCGGCGCGGCGCGGCGTAGCGTGATGCTGCGTCGCTTCTTGATTGACGATGCTGAAAAGTGGAAAACATTTAGAGCTGCTCAGTCATGCAGCATGAAGCTGCGGTAGGCTCTTGACCTCTCGCGGTGAATGGACGCGACGAGACGCTTCGAGGAATGAGAATCCAGAAATGTGACCGTTCATGCCAAAAGT